GATATCTTTTCTTCTTCTTGTTCCACTTTCTCCACTTTTTCTTCATTAATCTGCTTACTCTCTACTTTCTTCTCATCAGTGGTCACATTCACTTCAGTGGTCTTTGGTTCCTCCTTGTCACCCAACTGCTTCCCACTTCTCAACATGATAGCACTACAATTTTCACGAGGGTTGATTTCAGACTTGCTTGGCAATTGACCTTACCCACGAGTACTCATGGCGGAGGCCATTTGACTCACTTGCATCTCCAAGGTCCTATGAGCAGTACTCAATTGATCTAACCTTGCTTCTATTCTGTTAGACCGTTCATTATTTTCACTCAACAATTTCTCCATTCTCTCCAAACTTGCCTCCGTTGCTGACTTAGGTGCAGAGTGGTATGACTTTGCTTGGAAACCAGGAGGGTTTTGAGGTCTTGCATTAAAGTCTTGAGCCCCTTGATTATTCCAACAAAAGTTTGGATGATTTCGCCAACCAGGATTGTAGGTGTTGGAGTATGGATTATTCTGTTGCTGAGGCTTGCTGAAATTAGAGACATATTGTGCACTTGCCACTTGCATACATTCAGAGCTCAAATGAGGATCTCCACAGAACTCACAGACAGTGGCATGGAAGACTGCATTAGCATGTATAAGATTACCCAACGCCTTAGTCAGTGCATCTATCTTTGCGTTCATGGCACTTAGTTCATTGACTTCATACATTCCAGCAGGCTTCTTGGAAACACTTCTCGAGTTCGACCATTGATTCCTATTCTTTGCCATAGTTTGAAACAATTCATAGGCATCATCAATTGACTTATCCATTAATGTACCTCCAGCTGCAGCATCCACATTGTTTCTTGCAAAGTCTGTCAATCCTTGATAGAAAGTCTGAACTAGAGTACTTTTCTCAATACCATGGTGAGGATATCTTCTTTGCAATTCCTTGAATCTTGTCCATGCAGCATGAAATGTCTCATCATCTTCTTGAATAAACCCAGTAATTTGATTTCTCAATTTTGCTGCCTTATCTGGTGGGAAGAAATTGATCAAGAATTCCTTGTAAAGCTCATCCCAAGTTGTGATGGAACCAGGATCGCAAGTATTCAACCAATTCTTCGCTTCTCCCCTCAATGAAAAAGGGAAAAGTCTCAGCCGAATTGCATCTGACGTCGCACCATTTATCTTAACAGTATCACAGATCTCCCAAAAGTTGTCAATATGCGCATTTGGATCCTCATTGTTAAAACCGGAGAATTGATTCTGCTGCACCATCTGGATCAATGCTGGCTTGAGCTCAAAGGTATTCGCAGTAATGGTAGGTCTAGTAATACTTGACCTAGCAACATTCTCCGTAGGTGTGAAGTAATCTCTCAGTGTCCGAGTGTTTACTCTGTCGCCTATGATTTCACTCTGATTCTTTTCTTTTCTTAGCCTTGCTTCTTTTCTGTTCGCACGAGCTGTTCTCTCGATCTCTGGATCAAATTGCAAAGTCTCAGAATTCGCACTTCGCAGATAAAAACAGGATAAAAATATTTGAAAGAAATAACTAAAATAAATAAAAATCCAAAACTAATAAAAGAAAGTAATCTAAATTCGATATTAGCTGCCTTCCCTGGCAACGGCGCCAAATTTGACAAGCCGTCGTCACACTAGTCAAATAATAAATACCTTCTTAATACAATTACTAGTATAGCGGAAAATAGGGTCGTACCCAAAGAGAAGGAATACTAATTACCAGGTATAAATTACTCCTATTATTATCTAGATAAATGATGATCTCAGATTTTCAATTAAAATAAAACTAAAATAAATAAATAAAATAAAAGCAAATAATATTAATTCGAATAATCAGACAAAGAAAACCTAGAACATTGGGTTCACCTAATTAGAACTATTCACTGTCGTGATATAATTCTCTTACTCTAATTAATCCTATGACTACTGTCGTGACTATAGGAAATAACTAGAGCACATTAAGAACTTAAGAATCTAACGTTGCAAAGCTTGTGTTCCTACTGTCGTGGTTCACTACCTAAGTCCAATATTCCCATGAATTAATATTAATCTTCAACTGTCGTTCCATCAATTAATATCTTTAAACATGCAAGTAGTGGCCAGTTACAAACATGGAATAAAAACAAGAATATTAAATATTTTTTAATGGAAAAATCAAATAATAATGAACGAAATAAACCAAATAAATTTGGTAGCTACACCCAAGCCCTAGATTAAAAGAATTTAGCCGCTAAACATTATCAAAAATAATTCAATAATATTTAGAGACATAATCCAAAAATCTAAAATTAAATAAATAAAACTCCAAAACCCGAGAATAGAATAGGGCTGGCAAATTGGAGATTTGAAGTCCACGGCTGCTGCTTGCTTTCTCTTCGACTTCGGTGGTGCTGCGTGGCAGAGGACTTGACTGCTGGTGATGATGACGAAAGGTGATGATGGTGATTAATGGTGGTGCTGCGTGGCGGAATCAAGGAGGAAGCAAGGAGGTGGTGGTCTCAGCGAGGAGGAGTTTTGCAGCGGCGGTGATGGAGGTCAAGGTGGTGGTTATGCTACCGGTGAAGGAGATGGAGGTGGGGAGGTGGAGAAGAAGCTAGTGCAGCGTGGGAATGGTGGAGAAGAAGGTGGTGCAGCTGGCGGAGGAATTACAGCGACAAGAAGGAGGTCGGCGGAGGACGTAGGTATTTTTTTTTCTGGTTAAGTTCGGTTCAGTCCTATTGTAAAAATAAATCCCTAATCTTCATTTTATAGAATTCCGTCAAAATCCTACTTCTTGGAGAGGAAGAAAACTTGTTTCCCAAATAATATCGAGATTAAAATTCTTACCCAATTCCAATCCTAAATCAGCCGCACAACCTTAACCTATTTTGGCCAATTTTCCAAAAATTAAACATTCTAAAATTGCTTGTTTAATCCTCTAATTTTTCATGTACTTTAATTTCTTCCTTGTTAATTTATCAAATCTTCAATTCTTCCTTTTGAGTTGCTTTTATCTTTATTTTAGCCCACAATTTCAACAATTCCTCATTTTGAGTACACTTCCTACAATTAAAGATAAAATCACATAAATAGCACATTTGTACTCAAAATATATTGCAAAAATCACAAATTAGGGATATAATAAATAGGTAAAATATAAGCATATTACCGGCCCTTATACCGAGCCGAGCAAGGGTTAAAATAGCCAAAAAGCAAATCGGCCAAAGTCGGTCAAAATTTCGGTCGAACCGTGACTCGGTTTAAACCGGGTTGAGCAGGGGTTTTAATTTTTTTTGACTTTTGACCAAACAATTGCACTTTTTCCATGGATTTCAAGTTCCAATGTCTTCCAAGGCCAATTTTCTTTCTTTTGTTCAAAATTGTCCAACAACTTTCAATTTTTTGTACTTTTAAAGTATTAATTTGAAATTTAGTCCCCATATTCATTTTCAATTTTGAAATATAATATTTTGAATAATCTTTTTTTAATTTTGCTATAGAAACTTAATTCCGTCATTTTATGAAAAATTTATATTATAAATCTAATATGTCACAAAAATTAATCTCGAAGTACTTTTTTCTTAATGTGCATATTAGTTGTCCTTCAAATTCAATATTTTTTTCTAAATAATAATGTATTTATCTTAATTACTTTATTCAGTATACTAATTTACTTCATTTGAATAGCAATTAACTACTGAAAAATATCAATATCAACTAATATAATCAAAGAGAGATATAAAGTTTAAGTCTTTTTAATTTTAAATATATTAAATAACTAAATATTATATAATTAGTAATAATGACATCATTAGATACGACCTCATGAGTTCAATTTGATTATATGGAGACCCATTTGAAAATTATGAAGTATTAATTTGACTCCAACAATTGAAAAATATATATAAATTTATAAAATACTAATTAATATAAAATTATTAATTAATTAATATTTATGACTCATGATGACATCATCCGAGTCGACCCCCCGAGTCTATCCCCGATTCGATTGACCTCTTTGCCATGCCGAGTCAACCTCCGGTCCGAACCTGACAACACTGGTAAAAACCGCTCGACAATCATTCAAGAGTCAGACGGAGGTAATAAACAAACGTTTGGGATTGTTAATCTCAAGAGTCAGGCAAAAGAAAATGACATTTGGAAGACTGGTTCTAGCTTTGAAGTGATATATTGTTATCTCAAGATACTAGTGATGTTTGGTCGCGCAATGCGCGACTCTGGCCCAGTCTATACTTAATTTTGGAGATTTTTAATAGTTTTGTAATAAGTTTCATCCGAAAGGTATACGCTTAAAACAAAATTGACACTTTGTAACAAAAACCTAATTGATCAATTCAATTTAGACTCCATAATTAAGAAAAGAAAATCACTCTAATTGAATAAAACATAAAGAAAAAATTAAAAAAAAAAAACGTGCCAAAATGCAAAGGAGGATGTAATAATTTAGTTATGGTTAGACAAAAGGGTAATTTAGTACTTTCTTCATGTCACGTGGCAATCATAGGAGGTGTTTAAAAGGAAGTTTTTATTTCTAATATAGTAAGATACGGATTTGAGAGAAGAATTACTCCCAACTTGAATTTATTGCCAATCTGGCTGACTACTTTCATCCACTTGAGATAATGTAACTTTATGGCAGATCTAGTCGAGGCTAGGTTGCTTCTCCCTTGAACTTGAGCTTAATTTATTATGATTGTTTAATCTAAGGTTCTACGAGTAAAACGCAAAACAAGCGCCTAGAAAAAATTTGTCCCCAAAGAAACAAAAGCAAAACACGCAATGATCGACAAATACATATTCATATTCTTTTGTCTAGTTGGCCGTCCAAAATAAAAGGCAAAATGCTAGTAGTGAAAACGATAACAAGATTGGTTCAAGAACGAGGCCACATTAACAATCCGTACTGAAAACAAAACTCTTGAATCTATCCTCTGACCAAAGACTGAAATCAGAAAGAAAGTATTTCAGGTGTTCAACACATAGGGCTGTTGTCTAATTCTCTTAATGAGCTACTGCAACTCTTCCTGCGACTTGATCAAGATCTCTCTGCCCACTGGATGTGATCCTCCTTCCTCTGCCAACAGACATCAAAAAACCTTTCAAGTATCACAAGATGTGACTGCCAAGTATACATCCAGAATACAGACCTTTTGATTCCACAGATTCAAGCATATAACAGGGGAATGATGCTACAAAGGATTCCTTAGGGTGCAAGAATGCTATAACAGAACCATGCAGCTCAAAAGACAGAACTACATAACAGATAAGTGCCAAGTACAAGATGAATTCCAAAACCTAGAGCATGTTCACTCTGCCATCATATGAAATGTTCACTACATATAGTTCACATAAGAAAATTAACAGTCAATACTCACCCCTTAGGGTCGAGGTCCACTATGTTCATGGCCTGCAATTGCTGAAGAATGTGGCGAGCAACTGAACCACTGCTTGTTCCGAAATGGGGTGGACGACTGCCATTCCTCTTGCTACCACCATAAATCCTTCTAAAGCTACCAACACCAAGGCCGCCCCTCAAGTAAATTTTCCTTGCCATGGAAGCTTCAAGGCAAGTAGGGAAATTGTATAAGGTCTAAGGAACATAAAACATATCTTAAATTATATACTGGGAGAGAAGCTCAAATACTAACCAGCTCTGATGTAGTACCAATCAGGGTCATAGGGTGCAAGCTCCTTGAGCGTGCCAGTCTTCACAATATCAGTCCAATGTGGAAGCTCCATCTATTAAAAATAAAGAATGAAGGGAAAATTAAATAAGATATCATTCACCAATCAGACCTTAAAATCATTTAGAAATGCAATAGTACTTTAGAATCAAGGCTTGTAGAATGTATCCGTTTGTTAAATTCGTTAAGTTCAAACAAATCATGGCTATGTGATCATTTCTTCCAGTTCTTTCTAGACATGCTCTGCTTTCTCTAATGCAGGTCAATGAATCTTTCTTGTTCGTCTTATTAGGGGCTTGAAACATTAAATTTAGAATAAAGCTCCAATGCAGTTAACTTACTAATCAGGGATCACCTATGTCTGTAGAGTTAGTTAATAGACCATTGGAATGCACAATAATAACAGCAACTCAAAGGCCATCTGACAATCAATTATCGTTGAAAGACTAAAATAAAAACACCAAGCAATACTAGAAGTGTCATTTCCAGAAGTGAAATCACTCTAGCCAACTCTAGAGTCCCTTATAGTCCAATTGTTATTTGTACCGATCAAAGAACGAAATCCAAAAAGGTGCATTAAGTACTTTTTACACCAGCAACCCATCCCAAGAAAACAAACCTTCCTGATAATACCCGTGAAATAACAGAAGAAAACACAAGAAATAAATCATCTAGGCAGTACAATGCAACAACTATGCAAACAAGTCTTCAGCATTAACACCAGATATTTATCCACGTCAATACAAAAATGAAAAACACTAATCCTCTTTCTAATCAAGCCTCTTTCTTCTCAATCGCCACTAACTAAACCAACCCATCCGTCTGCCTTTCAGCAGAAAATCTACTATATCAACAACGAAATCCTTCAGCCACGAAGTTCAATAAAGGTCACCAAATTCTGGATCACGAATCCCTCTCTTTAAACAAATAACAAAAACCCATTTCTTCACACAATAGCTAAAACTAAAACCCTTAAACATTCCCATCAATTTCCTTCTTTTTCAATTTCTCATCAAAAGGAAAAAAGAAAAATGCACATGTAAATTCAATTTCCAATCAGAATAAACATGAATAAGCCTCGGACACTACGAGAAATTTGCGAAGAAGGAAAAAATAAACGAAGAAGGAGAAAAAGAACACCTTGCCGGAGCGCTTAAGATGAGAGGCGTAAGCCTTGACGAAATCATGCGGGGAGACATCTTTCACAGTTCTCGCAGCCGTTTCCATTTCTTCTTCTTCTTCTTCCTCCTCTGCTTCGTCGTCGGCGGCAGGGGTGGAAGCTGGGGTTTTCTAGCGCTACGTTGGCGTTTGTGTCTGAAAGAAGAGTGAGGATTTTAGGGTTTATACTTTATATTGTAGTCTGGTCTGGTGTCTAATAAATCAAAATTGGGCCTTTAAGTTGATGAGTATTTGGGCCATTTGAATTGATACGTGGGCTTCCATCCACCAGGCGCCCCCACCCCCCCAAAAAAAGCACTAAAAGTAAAGTTTAATGGGAACAAAATTAAATAACAGATACATTTTCTTTTGCAAAAATATCAATATAAACTCCTACATTTACCAGAAGGAAATGAAACTTCTTTTGTGTTACAAAACCCGTTTGTCCAACAAATAAATGACACTTCTTTTGTGTTACAAAACCCGTTTGTCAAACGTTGTTGGACGATTTTCACAATACTAATTTATAAAATGTTCTTATCTACTATTTTTATTTTAAAACAAAAGTCCTAAAAGGTTATGAATCCAGAATTTGTTTGTTACTTAATTTTATCCAAAAAAATAAAAAATCTTTAATGTCGTTTCCTAATGTACTGGGTTGTTACAAAAAAAAAAGAAAATCCTGTTTTTATTTAGATGTTGTATTGGTTTTACAATAAAACTCTCTTTTCTGGATAATCCCGTGGCAAAATGTCACCATTTTCCTTTACCAAGACATGTAGTTTAACTAAGTTAGAAATATTCTTATAGCATGAGGTAACCACGCTAATATAAATTTCGCAAGAAGTGCAAATCAATAATGTGTGTGAGTTTTTGCTACCAACACAAACTATTGATTTATGTTGTCAAAAATAAAGTAAAATGAAAAAGCTTAGGGCTTGTTTGGCCAACATTTTTTTTTAATGTTTATTTTAGTTTTTGATTTGGTTTAAAATGTGATTTAAAATGTGGTTTGAGATAAAATTTAAAAAGTTGTTTGGGTGATATTTTAAATAAACTAATAATATTTTTAGACCACTACCGGAACACGGCCGGCCAAATTCCGGCTCGCCGAAATTCGGCCAGCCGGTCGCCGACCGGCGGTGGTCCAGCGGCAGCGGCGGGCGGTTCGGTGACGGCGGGTGGTGGTGGAGGTGGTCCGGCGGTGATAGATGAAAATTGTGTAAAAATAATTTTTGGTATATTTTTTAAAAGGTAAATTAAAAAGTTGTTTGGATAGTATTAGAATTTGTGTTTGAGACGTGTTTTAAGAGGTAAAATGAGACAAAAATGCAAAATAAATGTTGGGCAAACAAGCACGATCTTTCTTTCTAACACTTCTCCTATATATATATATATATTTGCACATAGTATCAATGTGTGATACAAAATCAAAAGTAGTAGTACATGTAACTGTATAAAAGTGCTTAGATCTAGGAATAAGTAGTACAATGGTGTATAAGATATATGAATAAGTCAAACAAAAACCATTAATTCTTAAAATGTGGAAGTTCTGGATGATCATTACATTGACTCAAAAGACTCCAAAATAACACAAAATGTTAACCAACAACACGTTGAAATAGTCCAAGTCTACCCTTTCCTTAATTCACTTTGTCACACAAAGCTATTGAAAAAAGATAACTAAAATCTCCCATGCAAAAATTACTTCAAAAATTCAATTCCTAGTAGGAATCGAAAAGCGCCAAAACCGAGAGACGTATAACAACGTTGTACAAACAAATCTCGATCATTTGGTCAAAACCTAGCTGCTATATATATACATACATTTCTTACCCAAATTCTACATACACACGTATTTGTTGATCCTTTTAAGTTTTTTTTTTTTTTTGGTCTGTCACGTTCACCAAAAGATCGATTGATTAATAAAGATCAAATCCCTTTTTTGGCAAGATTGATGATGATCATGGGACCTGGTTCCAGCACCAAATCGTTTGATTTAATGGCGGAAATCCCACCTGGGTGGCGGTTTAAGCCCACAGATGAAGAAATAGTTCATGATTACCTATCCAACAAAGTATTACTTGATCCTCTGCCAGATTTCTGTATTGAAGAAATTGATGCTGAAGACCTACGTGCCAAGCATCCCAAATGTTTAGGTAATATTTGCTAAATTCTTTTGATTTGGTCTTTAAGAGAAATTTTATATATCTTTGACTACAAAATGTTTCTGACCAGAACGAACGCTTATTTTGAAACGAAAAGATGGTGTTATGTATTTTTCATATTTGTTTGTTCAGATATTCAACATTTAAAATATTAATTCTTATTGAAACCGATTCATACGCGATACATGCTATACCAAGTGACCACTAATATGATTGTCATATACTCATTTAGATCAACGATAAGAGACAATGATAAAAACTTAACAGTTATACACTATGTGTATATATGTAGATTTCTGTAATAGTATGTGTTTATACGTGTAGATTTTTAAAATGATAGTGTAGATAAAACAATTTAAAGGATAAAATTATAAAAATATCAGTATTATTTTGTTATTTATTATTGATTGAAAGATTTAGGTCACGTTCTGCATTTCTCTTAAACCCTCTAATCCTTATATTGGTTTTCTCCTAATGGTGCAGTAAAAACTCCTTATTCATATGGTAATGAGCTCGGAGGTGTAAGTAAAAAAGGAAAAGAAAAAGAGAGAGAAAAAGAATGGTACTTATTTATTTACGAAGATGAATATTTTGACGGTAAAACAAGAAGAATCGAAACGGTGGGAAATGGAGTAATAGGTGAATGGAGATTCGATGGAGGAGAGGAACAAATTCGCAACTCAGAGGGAAATGTATTTGGGTTCAAGATTTTCTTGCAGTTTTATTCAGGAAATCCTCCAAAAAGAACACCATGGAGGATGATCAAATATCGCCTGGATATGGAATTTTGGGACAACAAGATTAGTGATCAAGAGGTAATTTAAACATTACTTGTCACTCTAGGACATTAATTATTGTTTGTTAGTAAGTTTATTCTTATATCTTTTGTTTCCACTTCCTGCCTATACATGTTGTTTACATTTCTATGTAGCTTATGATTCTTTTTACATTTTGCTATCTCTTTCTTTCGAAATTATTGTTCAATTTAGATTTTATTTTTAGTGTAAATTAAACTAAAAGTAAAAAAAAACCAAACTGGATAATATACTCTCTGCTAATTATATGGTCCATATTTTGAAAATATATGATAGATAATTTATCAGAAATTTTTTGTTTTTTCTTTTTAAAAAAAAGCTAAATTAGAGTGCTGCTGTTATATACAGTATATTGTATCGCTCACCAAAAAAAAAATACAAAAACAAAAAAAAGACTATCAGTAACTAAAAACAATATATTTTTAATTATTGTTTTCGTCTACTATTTATCTGGACTTTGTTATATATAATTCATTTATATATAATTTATTGTTTTCATTTTCTTGTTCTTTCTTATTGACTCAGGTCGAAAATTGGATATTGGGAAGAATTATTAATGGAAGAGAGTATAATGATACTTTTTAATCGTTCCACTTTCTTTTTTTTTTTTTTAACAGTAATGATAAACAATCCTTCAGTCGAAGAGAATAAAAATAAAGTTAATATTGTTGCCACCACCCAAGTCTTTATCATTTTGTCACAGCAAACAAATATAGTATATTACTGTTATAGCTTTCTATCAAAGCTATCCCTCTGTTTTACACTGGTTCATTCTTTTGTAATAGATTTCCATCCGATTCAATTATTGTAGTAAACATTGAAAATTTTGAATCTGTATTTCGTTTCTTTGGTTATGTTAGTCGATTTTTATTTTATTTTTTTACAAATAATCATTACACTATATGAATTTCGTAAATTTATTTAACTTTAAAATTTTAACTGTAGAAAGTGAACTATTATTATAGAACATGAGGAGGACGTTTTTAGAGTGTGCGTAAACCTTTCTGGGAGCTCATGGCGGAGACGGGGAGTTCGACATTCAACTCCTCTTCCTTTCATGACGTTTGGATACAAAGTATATATTGTGTGGAATCCAAATAGTGTCAAATACCACAGTCAAATGTGTAATTTTTCTGATGTAGTAAAAAGAAACTTCAAATTGTCATTAAATTAACCGTGAATTTACTATGGAATCAAAATTGATTAGAGATCTTGTGAAGAAAAACAAACAGGAAAAAAAAAAAGAAGAAGAAAAGATTGATAATCCAATGAAATGCTCCTTCGGGATCCAGTCCATTCAAAGGACTTGTATATTTTTTAGACACTCAATTCAGCGGATTTGCAAGTGTGATACGAAATGTGTAATTTGGCATAATCAGAAGAGAGATTTTGTTGCTTCTTGTACCACTTTTCTTTCATGCAAACATGGCTAATGCTTATTAAGTTTATGGGTTTTGTTCACTATGACAATGATATCCCTCTGTTGACCGCTTTCAATTTGCATCCATTGATGATGCGAGAGTTTGTAGTACATGACACAAGGTAGAGGAGAGGGAATATATATGTATCAGAGATGTGGAGATCGGAACCTAATAACCTTAGCACATCAAGATAAGCTCAAACCGCAAAGTGCTCTTGTGGCTGATTTGGAAGCAGTTAGGGCCTAGGGGAGCAATGATGGAAGGTCAAGTGAGAGGTATAAAGAATACAGAAGTTCAATTAGATGACAAAGATTACGGTGACTTGATTATAAAAGAAAACTAGATGTTAATCCGTCCGTCCAACGGGACAAACATACTCAAATAAAATAGTGAAATAGGGAAAAATGAAATGTTATATTACTTTAACTTCAAAACTTCGAATAAAAAAATAGATGATTATACATACATATAAAAAAGTGCATGTAAAATCAAACGGAATAAAATAAAGATGATACCGATCAATACCGTATCCATCTCTTGTAAATCAGCTCCTTATCCCGGGGTAATTTTAATATATAAAATAGGCACAAGTATAGAGAATGCACTGTAGTAATAGATTTATTAGCTAATAAAGGTTTATAGATATTTCATTTTCTCCTAATAAAGGTTCAGATACGATCTCTATTTTTTTTATTTATCGCTTTAGGGTTTACATATGTATTAAGAAAATGATTGATAATTCAATTTTAAATATAATACCTTTTTTGCTCCTAATTAATAGTTTATACTAAAATTAAAATTGAAGTAAAAGAATAGGTAGTTGTCATTAATACATGATATTCAAAATAGAGACAAATAAGGGTGAAATTTGAAAAACTGTATTTAATATTGTATTAGAAATGAAGTGTGATAGATAAAATTTTTTTTAGTTCACCCTTAAGCGGTAGAAAGAAAAATAGAGGTTGTAGATGTATAAGTTAATGTGATTCTCAGTGTGGTGTGTTTCATTTTTTTTCACCCGTTTATTCATTTTATTTTAGTTTCACTCATTTTAGAAAATTTTCTATGTAAGAACTTAATGTTAAACTTATTTTTTTCCTTTCTTAATGATAGCATTTATAAATATTTATTTTTCCTCCATTTAGTCTTTCTTACCTACAGTTAAATCATTATCAACACATAGTGTTTTAGTTATCTACACATTTTCTATTTGTTTTTAGTTATTACTCATTCTCCATTTGCAATTATTTATTTTGCCTAAATTTTACCCTTTATTTAAGAGAACTTTGTACTTAAAGTATAATTGTGAGAGTATTTCTTTTTTCCATTTAATTGTATCATGCAACTCTTTTTTACCCCTGCATTTAGTCTTTCTCAAGTCAGTTGAGGAGCAAACCCTTCTTCAAATTATTTGAAATACATCTTCAAGTTATTGTTCATAGTAAAAAAGTTACTAATTAAGATGTTCCTGCACAGGTTAGCTGAATCACTATCGTCGTTGAGACGTTGACAAACAGATGTTCCTGCACAAGGTTTGGCATATCACAGATATGATAAAATTACTTGTAAAATTCCAAAATTATTTCTGGTGAAAAAGATTTTTGGATAACCTCTAAAATTGATTTTTAAGTGATTCCTTTTTTTTCCTTTTGTTTAAAAAGATTTGCATCCTCAACTTACATATTTATTAGTCGGTTTGCTCATGTGTTCATTCATTCTAGTTGTTTTCGTTCTCCGTGTAACTATTTCTTTAGTCTCAAATCTATTCTTTCATAAAAAAATTTATTTAAAATGTAACGGGGAAGAATATTTTTCCCTTCATAACATCCAACCTTTTTTATTCCTTCATTTAATGTTTCTTACATTATTTTTACTGTTTATACATTTCTTTGTAAAAGATTAATTCTCAAAGTATCAATTTTGCTCTGTTTATTCATTATTTTAAGTTTTTAGATTCTCCATTTAATTACTTCTCTTGATTAACTCTGCCCAATTTCAAATATTTTAATCTAAAAGGTCATAGTTATATCTCCTTTTTATATAATAAAAATATCATTGAAAAAGTTATTTCCTTCCTTTTAGTCTCAAATACAATGATCAATGATATCAAAGATTAAATATCCAGTATCAATGATAGTGGTGAGTGCAGATTTGAAGTTTGTTGAAATTTTTTTAGTAATGGTAATTAGTAGTTAGTAATTCTTTTTTGGTTATTTTAAAATAGGAATTTCTCTAAATTTGTCTCATAGGACTAAATCCTATGTGACATGAATATATAACTAAGGCATTTTCTTTCTGGACTTTGCCTTGGTTATATATATACATATATATAGATATTCACGTGTTTCAGATGTTATAGTCATAGTCGAAGATGTCTCTTTTCTGAAATATTCATTTGATAGTTGTATATTTATGTATATCAGGAAATAGTTAATGAAACTCTTCTTGTATCAATCTTGTCAAGTTAGCCTTATCTAACAAATGTTCACAAAGTTGGGATTTTTTTTTTTCTAAAATTCACCCTAATGGACCACACCTAAATGTGGATAAAATTCTCCTTACAACCCCTGGTGGGAATCAAACCCTGGCCTATCACCAAGAAAGACAGTAACCTAACCACTAGGCTGTCATTCAAAGTAAAAATATGAGTCGTTAATGCTCTCTTGTAATATAAGTCGTTTAAGACCGATCGTATAATATATTAGTTCAAAGTGAAAATGTGTAAATTACTCTTTTTATTTATTTAGTAATGGTAATGAATATTGATTTTGACAGAAAAAAAAAAAGACAAAAAGATCAATAAGATAGGAAAGGATGATGCAGGCGTTTTGATGATATTCAACCCGTTGGAGGAAGGACTAAAAAGATTAGTCCGACCTTGTAATATTTTCTGTTCTTAACAAACGTAAATCATTTGAATTTTGACCATAGGGAAATGCTCATATCTTTCATTGTTTTCCAACACTTTTTATTTTTTACATTTCTTCATCTTGTAGTGGCATTATTCCTTAGGTATTTCTTCAATTAAGAAGATAGACGGTGGTTTTTTCCAATTTTCATACGATAATAACCGGTCATCAAATTCAGGTTAGGAAAAGAAAAATGCAAATACTTAATTTTGTCTTCTCCAATTGGTGACGATATGTTTTTTTTTTCTTTAGAAATTTTAGTTTCATACAAAAATCGATACAGTGAAAATAATTAGGAGACTTTCTTCCACATCTGTAAATAATCTATCTATCCATGTCTATGTATATTACTATTAGAGAAATCGGAGAGAGAAACTAACTTTCGTTTTTAGAGTGACAACTAAGATAAAATCTTATGTGTAATTATTTTATGTGTTCTCACAAAAATAAGTTATAAAAATTGTGTTAAAACCCTTGAATTTTATACTTAATTAAAAACTTAATTAGGATCATCTTATGATAATAGTTTAAGTAGTCTCTAAAATTTTGGATTTTTTAACATAATAATTTATTACCTGACAAATTTTATTTTTCTTTTTTTATATTTGCATTAAGTCTACGTTAATTATTTAATATGTCAAATAGTACTTACTCAGTTAACATTAAAAAGACATTTATGATTGTTCATTATGTTTGCTTTTTTCTAAAAAATATGAAATTTCAATTTATTTACCCCGCACAACATGCGGATTTAACATCTAGTGAACTAATATAATAACTAAATCCGAGCAATCTTCCAGATAAGTTGAATTTACAAGTACTTGCAAGGAGTCAGTTAATTTCATCGCAATACATAATGTCTGATGTACTACAATATCTGATGGACGACTTATAGATCTAAATCTATAATTGTTTCGTTCTTGCCAAATCAAATATACGATCGTAGATAACATTGTACAATAGGCAAGGGTAACAAGATGTGTACCTCTCCACAGGTTGGAAGCTCTCACTATACATTAGTGCCAACTTGAATATGACCAAAGGAATTTAACATCTCTCTTTAGGATAACCAAACAGGAAACCTGGCAAAATTATGTCTCAGTACCAACTTGAATCTGGCCAAAGAAATTTAACATCTCTCTTTAGAATAACCAAACACCTGACAGAATAATGATACTGAAATAGTAAATGGTCATGGGACTCATCAGCATCATTACCATACACAAATCCGATCAAGTCCAGAATGCAATGATTTATCAAGTTTAGATAAACGTTCTTGAATGACTAGCCAAAGAATAAAACTTATGTTTTGAGATTTTTCCAAGTCCGTAGAGTAAACTCGTCCAAGGTTGAGTTGTTGGTTCTAAAAATCCCCAATGCCGAAGAGATCGGGAATAATCCATTGAGCTCAAAACTCCATAAAACACAATCCGGACTAGTGGATATAGTTGGCAAATAACTGCAGATATATTGGATGCTCGAATCCCTGATTATAGGCCAACTCCATTCTCATAAATCACTCCAAGTAACTTTGTATCACAAGGAAGTCCAATTACTCTAGGTGCATGAGGATAGAATTCTTGGAGCGGTCCAAACCTCATACCATGGGTCTTTTCAAAACAGGAAAGACGATATTTTCATCAGGGGGATAGGTATTCATTAATTAATTTGGAGGCGTCTAAGAAGAAATAGAAGAAATAAAAAAAATATATATAAATAAATAAACAAATAAATATATAGCAAACTTTTAGCTTCATTCCCAACATGCAAATTTCCAGTGCATCTCTAAGTGAATGTTCATTATGTTTGTGCTGATCATAATGAACATTCACTTATAAACTCATGATGATTAATGAAATGGTGAACATTCACTTATAAACTCATGATGATTAATGAAATGGTTTATCATTTTTAACTGATCTTGTGGGTAGAGTTTCTAGTATTCCCCAAAATCAAACTTAACATAATTTGCAATTAAAATGTTACTGCTTTCATTTCAATATGATATTCTTTTTATTTCCAAAAGTTAAGGTGACAAAAAAAATGTTATTGTATGAATCGTTGGTAGTTTCCCGTTTTTGAATTTCTAAAATTCATTCCATCGGACAAATCATCGGTTTTTAGAATCTTTAGAGGAATTAGTATTTATAAAACTAAAAAATAAAAAGGGCTTTGCTACCGAATTCGCAGCAACGGAAAAATGTCTCTTCCTTCAATCGCCTCCCTTCTCCGCCGGCACGTTTCTCCATCCGCCTTCTCCTTCTAGGCTTCCGACGGCTTTTTTGTGCCGCCATTTATTGAACAGCTTCCAATTCGGATAAGAACCCTTTTTACAGAGTTAGAATATGAAATAGGCAATCGGACCCCATGTTGGAGCATTGTGACCGGTGAGTTTTCTCTCTTTTCAATTTTTTACTCTGTTTTTAATTGGTATCCTAATCTTGCCTGAAAAGATTGAATTTTGGTTTTGAAATGGAGTCGGAGATGATTTTATTTTTTTTTAATTGGAATTACCAAATTATGAATTCTTATTATGCAAAGCTATAGAAACGAGTTCCTAACCTATGCAATTTTAGGATTTCAATTAAATGAGTGTTTCATTTGCTTCTGTTTTTTATAAGAGCATCTGCAGCGTTGCGTTTTTTTGTTGTACACCAAATAACCAGATTTGATGTTTTGCTCCCTATTACAGTGTTGTCTTCTCCAACTCACAACATCAACTTTTACATCAATATGGAATATTTCTTATATATTCTCTCGTCCTTTCATTCTTTACTAATTTATAAAAAAAAAACAATTAAATTATTTGTATTAATACATTAACCAAAATAATTTTATTTTTTCTTTATTTTGGAACTATATATCTATTCAATATGAAAATAATTATTTTAATATCAATTGAGTAATAAGTAATAAAATTTGTATTGATCGATTAATAACTATAAAAATAAAATTCATATATTCTCGCAAACAAATATATTACATTATCGAATTAAAACAAATGCAAAATAATCTCGCAAACAAATATATTACATTATCGAATTAAAACAAATGCAAAATAAATATTACATTTAAAATAATTAAATTAAGACTATTCATTAAGTTTCTACAACTTTAAGTTCATCAATAATGAAAAAATATATAATTATATGGGTTTATAAAAGTAATTTAAAAGTAACCAAAAAAGAAAAAGAAAAAGAAAGGGGGAGAAAGAACGTGGGGATTGCTGCTCCTAAAGTAACGCAGCAAATTAGGCGTGCTATTGTAACAGCTGCAGTATTTTGTTGCTTGGGTTTGCTGATTTGGTGCGTCGTTGGAGGGTTCCTTCAGCAAAAAAGTACAGCAAATCAAGTGATTTGCTACACGCTGCAGATGCTCTTATTCTTTTTGTCAGTTTGGATTCACGTTGTAATCTCACCATTGAAATGAAAGAAATGAACCCGAAATGATTTCTTTTTTTTTTTTTTAATGTACAGGGATGCTTGCTTACTTGTTGGGTGCGTAGTTTTCAAGAGTAGAACAGTCACAAACTAAGCTCTCACTCAGAAGAATTCACAATGAGAAATGGAAAAAGTTCTACTTATGGATTTGCTTCCATTGCTCTGTCTCATATTCTCAATTCATTATCATTGACTTCATCCTGTTCTGTAACTACTGCTGGTGTAAGATCTCTTAAATTCAATTCTCATCCTCCGAATCCTTATGTCAATCTTCCATTTGGCTTCCATTATTCTACGACAACTACTATTGGTGAGAGGTCTTACAAGAACCCTTTAAGAAAAGCAAGCCCGAGGAGGCTATGCGTTTGTTCCTGGATATTCCATGTAAGGGATTACATCCTTCAATTGAAACTTACACCATTCTCTTGCAGGGATTGTTTCAATCAGGGAGGTGTGATATCGCAAAACAAATTTTCAGTGAGATGCAACTCAGCACCATCGAACCTAGTTTTTACACATGGTGTGTAATGCTGGATGGTCTCTGTAAGAATGGACATGTTGACGAATCATTTTTGTTATTGCAGAAGATAGAAAATGGATGGAGTGGAGCTTGATGTAGCCGTGTACACTATTATCATTGATGGATTCTGTAAAAGCGGGAGACTTGATGAAGCGTGGGATATGTTTCACAGCTTATCTCTTAAAGGATTTGATCCTGATGTCAAAACATATACTGCAATGATCGAAGGTCTATGCATGGAAAGTTTGGTAGAGGAAGCTAAAAACCTTTTACATAGAGGATTTCTTGATGACGGAACGAGAATTTTCAAATCGCGGGGTCGAAAATAGGATTATTCAACTGTTACCGGAGGGTCAAACTGAAAAAATTTCAATGATAAACACCCTACTAAGAAAAAATTTGGCCAAATCCGGCCAGCCGGGGGGTCGATCGACCACCCTTGAATCCGTCACTATATGATGATGCTGTAGTTTACATAGAAGAAATGGAAAAGAAAGGATATGCCCTGAATCCATCGAACTTACTGAACGTATTAGATTTAATCTCCAAACAGGAAATAGTTGCTTTTCGTAATTTGGTTCAGAAATTTGTTTCGAGGGGGAAAAATCCGAAGCTCTCAATCAAGAGTAACTTGAGTTTGGGAAACTCGTTGCGCTTTGACTAATCTCTGATGCTTCAGAGCTAAGGATGATATTCTGCTTTCTTCTCCCAGACCTTCCTGTCATTACAACCCATCAGGAACTAACACGACGAATTTCGACGAATTTCACAAATGGAGTATGAAATTATCCAACAAAAAAAAAATACAACTAATAACATTACATTATTTTCGAAAAGTTTGGAATTGCACTAATATGTATAATTTTCTACTAAAATACAATATATGTATATAGATATATATATTGCCTCCTAATTTTAAACAATTTAAAGAAGAAAAAAACAAACAAAAACGAAAATGGAACCTGTCTCTCAGCTCCATCTAGTCTACAGAAAATGATACACTAAAAGCTTATAAAGTAACTTTGATTTGGTTATCTGTTAATTTTGAAATCACTATGCAATCAAAATTGGCTACAAATTAAAAAAATGCTGACATGATTCAGAGGAGTATATCATCGGTTCCAATTGAATACTCTAGTGTTTAACTAGTACATGTCTTCACTATTTCATGTACATTGACCATATTTTATTTCTTACAAGAAACTCATAAACCTTTATCTCGCTACGTAAATTCAGCTACATGATCTATACATTGCTGTGTTTAAAAACTAAAATTGTATCTTCAGTGCCCTGAAGCACCATTAGTGGTAGTAGTACTACTATTACTGCATTGGCTGACAAAATGCTCCAAGCTTTTGTATGAAGATCCGCCTTCACTGATGCTCTCTCTGGCCATTTCTTTCAGCTTCATTGCATTTGATCTGATTTTTTCATCAGAAAACAAGTTATCGACTTGTTTCTTAATCTCATTCCTTGAAATGATCCCCTTTTCATCAGCATTTAACCAAAGCCCTACTTTCCATGCTTCACAGATACAAGTCTGTGTGTACAACTGATCTCCAAAATATGGCCAACACAGGAATGGTACTCCCATGCTTATGCTCTCCATGAATGAACCCCAACCACAATGGCTTATGAAACAGGCAATGGAAGGATGAGCTAGGACCCTTTCTTGAGGCGCCCAATCAACGATTTTCCCACGACCTGCGACTCTGTCGACGAATCCATCAGGAAATGACATGGAAGTTCCATTGGTTAGGCCGGACCATGCCACCCAAAGGAAAGGTTTCTCCATAAGTTCGAGCCCTGATGCAATCTCCTTGATCTGTTCTTCGCTGAACCTAGAAGTGCTTCCAAATGCAACATAAATGACTGACTTTGGAGCCTGTTTATCAAGCCAGGTTACACAACTGGAGTCTTCTGATTCAAAACTTCCAGCAGATTGGCCGTCAGCAAGTAATGGACCAACAGGGAGAAGATTCGGGACCAAATTCGAGCCACTTTTGTCAAGATCGTGGAACCAGTTGCACAAAATAAAATCTGATTTACGAATCATGTTGTCCACCACTCCTTTGAAGTAGTGAAACATTTCTCTTTGACGATCTAGATCAGCCGGAAAACACCAGGTGAATTCGTTCGGGCGCATTCCTGGCATCCCTTGTACTAACTGAACCCTCTCATCGCTCTTCAGCGGGGTCCCTGCAAAGGCAACACAGCAACAACTTACCTTTATCGCATTGTATGAGGTCAGTTATAAATATAGGTCACATGTTGTAATATATTGTTAGAACACATATTTTCGTTTAAACCAAATGAATAACATGTTTTCCTGAATACTTTCTATCAAATCTTGCACAATCATTTCAGACAAAATCATCAACACTAAAATGTGCTTGAGCCTTTTTATTTTTTTCATCACTTACCATCAACAGGATCAATGACTTTAGCCTCCACAAGCTTTTCAACATTGCATCCGAGAGACAAGCATCCAGGAGTAGAGCACCAATAAGTAGAACATTTGATCCCCATTTTCTTAGGAATATCCATCAGAAATGCCAACGGCGAATCCACAATAACACCTGTAAACTTCTCACCATCATGATCAGCAGCAGCAGAACCATTATTAACCTGGTTAAGCAATCCTTCCAATTGACCAGGCATCAATTTATATATACTACTGCTCATCTTTTTCTGATCTTTCCTATCAATATCAGACTCCAACCCATCAGGAAACGACACGAACCTGATTGGATTCCCGTCTGTCTCATCAGGTCCAGGCATTGAAGAAGCCATTTTAGAGTGGATAAACTCTGTAGTTACAAATGTCACTTTAACTCCAAATTTTCTTATCCTGTTTGAAAGCTTGATCAGCGGAGCTGCATGACCCTGTAAAGGAAATGATATAACTATAATGTGGCCATTATAGCATGGCCCTGTATGCTTCGATTCAACCATTATTGAAGAAAAACAAAATGGCAAAAAAAATTTACCCTGTATTTTTTTTTTCCCAGTAAAGTTTAGTTTTTTTGGTGGTGAAGATTGAGAAATGGACATGGAAGATGTATGAGTTTTTATAGTAAACTATATTCAGGGGTGGCAAATATATCGGGAAGTATATAATCCACCCTCCCTTTTACTTGGATGAAATTTGGGTTTGCAAATAAAGGTTGTGAATTTACTTCCGACACATTTGGGCGTTTCTGTTGGCTTCCACATATGTTCAGGAGTTCTAGAATACGACTCGAATTTTCCTGTCATGGTCTTCTTCTTTCATTAAACCAATATCATTTATGTCGTTAAAGCTTCAAGATTAAATAAGATTCTCTGCCTCCTTTTGGTATATCAATGGTGCATTTTGGATCATGCAACATAGTGTAAATGAATAAAATCAATTTACTAATAAAACACAATTGATACACTAAACTAAACGAAAAAAATTTCATCACCTTGGAGCCTCACAAATCACTTCAATATTGACAAAGTAACCTTGCATAAAATTAGTTTGGCAATCATCCAGCATAATTTGGAACTATCGGATATAATATCCTCTAAACATTTCATATTTCTCTCTGATATGAATTCTTCCCCAAGGAACAAAATTGCCATCAGTATACAGTACATCTAAATTGTGTTTCCAAGTATAGCTATTTGACCAAAACTCTAAATACTGAGTACCTTAGCCAAAATTAATCAAGTTTCTCCAGACAATGTATTAGATCATGGTCTACTACTTCATCTTGAATCTTGGCAGTCTCCCTGTCTTGCTTACTACGGCATGAGACCTGTTTTGTGCAGCAAACACCAATAATGCTCCACATCCGGCGGCTATTCCAACTCCAAGGATCAAAGAAGGCACATGGAAAACCGAGTTTCTCTTGTTATGCATAATATCCCATTGCAAATTGACATCATCAGGATGCCACAAACTCAAATGTACCGCGAGTATCATTTTCAGATCAGATTCGGCCGATCCAGAAAAGGCCTCCGAGCACACAGGACAACAGACTTGCATAGACCCTCTAACTCTGACTACAGAAACTCTTCCTGCAACTGATATTGCTTTATCTCGTAATGTTATATGAGCTGGCTGAGGTAACTGTAACCGGTTTTTCAGTTATACATAATAAACACAAAAATTATTAGTAACAATAAAAGGTATCTAAAATCGACAAGAAACTTATCATCTACTGCAAACAAAATGTTCTGACCGCCAACAGATTACGCAGTCGCATCCACGTCAATTGTAGCAGCTCCTTCATATTCACAAGTCACAACTCCAGTTAACAGATTAACCTGTTAAAAAGGCATTTTAGTGCAGGCATTGCATATAATGAGAATCAAGGATCTCATGAAGACATCAACTTGAGACTCCTCTTGTTGGTCATACAATACCAACAGATACAGGAATTGTAAATACATTCAGATGAATCATACTGGAAATATTCACATTATGAGTATTGAGGAATTTTCATTCATCCAGTCGAAACGCAATGAACTATCCTTCGACCGGGTTGGGGAAAAACAACCATCTTCCTTCAGTTTGTTCAATTAGTATTATTGCACATTTGCACCGAGTCCAAAAACAGTGATAGGAACAATTATAACTTTTCTCACTATAGGTCACCATTACTATCCATCAGCCCTTTCTCCAATACATATCAACATCCCATCTCAGAAAACAACGGAAAAAATTTTGTACTTACTCCAGTTATACGATCTCCATACATCAAGATTTTTCATTCCACACTCCATTCGACCCTTTACAACTCTCAAAGCCCAAAGGTGTCAAGAGTTCTTGGGTTTCACTCCAAAAACCAACAAGTAATAATAAAGAAAAAATAAAAACCCACAAAGAAAAAAAAGAACACATTGTGAAAACCAACTCTAACAACACTAAAATTACTGTATCATACTTCGGTTAGGAACTAACAATTCCAGAAGCTATTGAGTAAAAGAAACAGGACAAACACATTAAAGAAGACAATGGTTCAATAAGACAATCAAAACCAAAATTATAATAAAAAAATACTACATAAATTGAAACAAAACATGAAAGTAAAAACAGTGGGGGAGCATACCGCAGGGATTTGGACATGGGAGAGGAAGACGGAGAGAAACTGGACAGGAAAGTCACAGAGTGAGTGGGAAAAACGCAAAAAGCCGAAAAAAAAAAAGGAAAAAGGGAAACCTAAGCGTGAATGTAGGAATTTTGGAAAAGATTGGGTGGCTTTTTTGACAATTTTTTGAACTTGAGAACGGCCCACGATTTTTATTTTCTAATTATCGGCCCAAATCAATATTACTACATCTGGCCTGGCCCGGGAGTAAGTTGTCATTTGCCTCACTCTGTCCCAAAATTATTGTCCAGTTTGAGATTTCACTTTTAGTACAATTTGAACTAAAACCAAAAACCCAAACTGAACAATAATTATGGGACGGAGGGAGTATAATCTTTTGATCACTCATGGTCTAACATGGAATACTCCATTTACAGAATTGAACTTATATTGACAGATGAAATTTACTAATGATACCTAGAACCCAATGTATTGAAATATTTTTTTATTTAAAAAAAAAAAAGAAAAAGAAAACCTTTTGGTTCAAATGTATGTTTTAGTATTAGTTATTTAAGAAATTGAGGACATACCGTGATATCGGGTTAGAAACTATAATAGATGTTCAAATTAAAAACCATTTGTTTAAATAGAATTAAAAATAAATAAACTAACGCTATACTAATCTGCAATCAGATTAGAGAAATGTTATAAGCAAACTATCAACTAATTTTTTTTTGTACAAAATAAAATGTCTCGTTTGACTGACAAAAATAATATTCCCTCCGTCTCTTAAAAAGAAAAAAAAAATACCAGTTCGGATTGTTTTTCGGGATGAAGGGGTATAACCACAACCAACACTTCTTTCGGAAGTAGCTCATAATTGTGTTTCCTCTTTAACTCAATAATATTTGTGAGAAAAATGATGGCGGGAAAAACAAAAAGAATTCTTTTGAAAACAATCCATTTAGTAGTTGAGATTATGCTCCTAAAGGCGTGCTCCTTATTTCGTTCATAACGCACGCTTTATCAATCCCCTTTTTTCAGTTATTGGGGAAGATTCGCTCCATCGCCGCGCCGCCATTTCTTCCGGCCTCAGCCCCCACTCCGCTCCCGCCGCCGCACTGGCGATGGAATTCCAAAGCCCTTCTTCAGACAAACTACAACCTGTAAAGCAGTACCCTCCGCCGGCTTCTCCATCATCATCCTCTTCCACCTCCTCGTCGGCGGCCAATATAAGATTGTGGAAACCGGCAGCGCAGCGTAACCTGAGAAACCAATGGTCAAAATTGGCATCTTTACGGCGTGATTGGGTTTCTTCTTCCTCCACCGCTCGTTCTCATGCCACTTCTCTTGTCAACTCCTATCTTTCGCAAATGTATATAATACCCTGTGCAGAAATTATTCGCAAGAGACATGTTTTTCCTTTTCTTTTGGTGAATAAATGGAAGATTGCATTATTTCAGGTATATGAGTTCAATGGAGCTTGGAGTTCTAAGTGATATGCCTGGTATTCGGAAGAAGGCATCTTTGAAGCTGTTCAAGCAACAGGTGAGTTTTTTTATTCCAGTGCTTGGAATAATTAACCACTCTAAAGATCAGTTTTTGAGGAGGTGGGCTGTGGCATTTCTGGCCATTTTAGATTTTTGGGTTAAAGTAAAGCAAATGTTTTATGAAATTTTATATACAGGTTATACATTTTCATTGTGGGGATTGTAGAGTTGGACATTTCATGCGTTCATATTGTGTTTAGCTATCCTCATTTGAAGTGAAGAAGCTTTTGAGAAGTAGGATTGCTTCTTTAGTGCTTGTGTACTTAAAGTCTTGGATGTTGTAATAAGTGTTTAGTAGTAACTTTGGTGGGTTTGGCATATCTTTTTTTTTGTTTTACACTTCTACAATTGGTGTCTGCGTATGCTGGTGGGCTTGTTACTGGATTTTCTTTTTTTACCTGTTATGAAACTCAACACATAAATGCTGAAGAACTTATGATTACTATGCCCCTGCCTTTTACAGGAGCTTCAGCGGAATAACCTCTTGGCATCCTACAAAGATTTGGTAAGAGCACTTGAAATTCATCTTTATGATTTGACATCTTATGCCGGTTTGTGGATCCGAGACATAGTGTTTAATATTTGGTTTCTGAAAGCTATGCCTCTCTGCTTGTATGCAACTGGCTCATGTGATGTTAAAGTTGTTTCATGCTCCAGAGCTTCTTTATTATCTACGAGCCATTTGCTATCCAAGTGCTTGATAGCATCCACAGCCCCTCGTGTTTTTCCTCTTCTACAAACTGCTTTTTATCTACCGCAATGGTAGTTACTGAAATAAATGGGAAATTTTTGTTGATGATGGTCTACAGGTGGATATCGTAACACGGATGGTCTACACGTCTAAATCTATGAGGTGCTATGTTAAAGGAATGAGCAATAGTCCTCTATCTCAATTTTCTATTTCTGCTGAGATACAAGATGATTCTGGTGATGGTGGAGGAGTTTCAGTCTTCAGCTTTTGGCCAATATCTCAATATGGTGCGTTAGGATTCTCTGATGCTTGACAAGCCATTTACACCTTTTTTTATTTTATTCCTCGTTCAAAATTTTGATATCTTATTGGACGGTCGGACCATATCTGGATGATTGGATCGTCTAAATACATTTTCGACATAGTAAAATGAACTTCTAAAAGGCATTGAACAAGTGAACTTTATACTGGGAAACCAGAAACATGCATTGCTCTTTCCTAGATGTTAAACTGGTGATTGCTTTCTCTATTTTACCTATTATACATAGAAACATGTATTGTAGATCCTGCTTGTTCATAGTTGTTGAAGAAGTTTCAAGTTTTCACACTTGTTGAATGTTAATAATTTATATCCGATGCCAGTACGACAGTTTTAACTGCTGATTGCAGAATTATTAGCGAAGGAATTAGTAGAGATGTTCGTATCAGAACTCAACTTGAAGGTAAATGTTGGATCAGATGAAACAGTTGCTATTTTCCATCTTCACAACTCACGTTTTATCACCAAGCTTTGGGTGATTGTTCCTCATCTTGTGAAACATTTGCAGAGGTTACTTCTGATGGAGCTGCTTTCTCTTGGTCATGAAAATGTTTCAGAAATCTCTGATTTGAATTGGTCAGATGAATTTTATCCTGGAGAATTTGATTATCTGGCTATATGTAACTTATACTCTGACAAAGATAGCCAGCCCGTTCTTCCAAGCTTTGGAAAATGTAATGCTGAAATCGGTTCTTTGCAGCCGCAGCATAAGCAAGACAGAGATGTCTTACAGGTACAAGATCCATTATGTCATTCTAAAATGACACACGTATGAACAGGCAGGGACCATTTGGTTGTGTTGAGTACTTTGCTAGAATCGCATGTGCAAAACGTATGCATATAGATCTGCCCATTAGTAGTACCATTCGGTTGTGTTGAGTACTTTGCTAGAATCACGTGCACAACAATCATGAAGACCCTGACAGGGTTCATACCATAACTAGGAGACTGAATTGTGGCGACCATATTTATGTGTTTTATTACTTATGCGTAGTTTGCAGACCTCTCTTCGACTCTATATCTTACACACAATTTGATTGCTTTGTGTGTAGGTGTATTTAACTACCTGGATTGCTGAGGTCAACATTGAGCGAAGCAGGTAAAACTCAAAAATGTACTTGAGAGTTGAGATGGCCCTGAGGTTGAGCAACTCTTATAACTTATAAATTCAAAGATAATCACATTGATGCTTTACACTTTTGCTCTATCGCGTATATGTTTTTCTTATATAGAGTGGATGACATCCTTTCCCTAGTTGGAGCTGAAATGTGTGTCACTATTACTTGAGATTGGCACTGCTGAACTTGATGGAAACAAAAGGCGGGCATACTTGTTGATTGAGCCTAGTGTAGTACCAAAGTCATCATGCCACGAGAGAAAAGCATTGGAATTTTGAAGATAGAGCATCACTTGGCATTCATTCGGACTCTCTGGTGTTTAGCTGCCTTGTGATTGGAAATTTTGTATCATTATGAGAAGTGATTCTTCCAAAGCAAAATACATTTGTAAATCACGACGGTTGTCACTTCATTGATTGTCTACTTACAGGAATTGACGTACAATGTTGCGTTATTCTTCGGTGTTGTCTGCAGCCTGTGTACATAACTACATATACCAGTCCATGCAACATCATGAGTCCCTGATTAATAAAACTTATACAGTCAGATGCTTGAAATTTTGAAGTTCGTTTGTCCAAGGCTTGTATTGTTTAGACCATTAAATTGATGCAGACATAAAAATATTCGATCCATTCTTTTGAATTTTTTCATGCAAGTGCAACACATATCAATAAGATAATCATTTGTTTCCACTGCTAATACTTCAAACTGCAGAGTGGCACAATAGCGTAACTAATTGATTTTTCAATAGAATCTGATGGCTGTCTAATCACAGTAAGAGGCACCTCAGTGGGCTAGTGTGTTACACGGTAGATTTCCCAAAGCCCCTATTTTCATCACTACATCTCGTAAATGGAAAACAAAATATAATTTTAAAAAAAAAAGGAAAAGAAAAGAAAAGAAAAGAATACACAATCTGATGCTGAGGTCACAAAACTGTTCGGACAAAGAAAGAGTTCAAATAATCAGGTCGATTACAATGCCAGCTTTTTGGCCTCTATCAGAATCCTCAAATACCCTTGCCCCTCAACCCTAGCACCATCCTCCAGACCAGCTACATCACCGGGCACACAACAGAGGAGAAGAAAAGCGTAAATATATATATGTATATACAAATCAGGAAATAATATCCCTTGAATTTAATGTGGTCGTAACGACCGAGCTATCCAATCTTCCTTAGAAATAAGTCAATTTGAGGAACACTGCCCTGGATAAAGAAATGCCTACCAAACATTTTTCTACATGTACTATTATCAGAAACTTGGCTACCTATGTTTTGCATATCTTTGATGTATCAGGCTGCACTTGTATTCTCCCCACTTAAACCAAAAATGATGGGGGTACCCCAAGTCCTTTTTAAATACCAAAGAGATGTACAGAAACTGAACTTACATGGTATTCAAAGAGAGAATTTTCACTACTCTTCATTTTTTGGCAATCTCATCTATCTGCTTCCATGAGTTGGTGCAGGCACCAGTGTATGACCAAGCAGGTAACACAAAGCAGAAGAAGCCGGGAGATAGCCATAATTATAGGGAAAATTATAATCAATAATCACAATGAACAACATTGTACTTTGGTGGGAAGATTCCTAGGCAAAGGAAGTGCTGTAACATATCTCTGAAGATATTTCTGAGTATAAGAAGCTGCATCTGATGAAGATGAGGCTTCAGTGCTCTCTGCTTGTCCTCGTCCATGGAATTTAGCAAAACGATTAATCACAGAGAACTTCTCCAGATCTTGACATTCTAATATCAAATCCAATACTGATGCTCTCTTGTCCAAGCTGCATTACAAATAAAAATTAAGAAAAGAAGAAAGAGGAAGAGAGTTCTCCCAAGTCTTTAAAAAATTAATAAGCACCCCATAACTTAAGACAAAGCATGCCAAAACAAGTTCCAAAAAGAAAAGGGAACTAGAAAGAGTTGAGTAGCAAATTTACTCCAAAAGCATATAGCTACGAAGAATGATAATCAGATGATGCAAATGACGTTCTTGGGCACACCTTCCAAAGTCCCACCCCAAAATAAACACACAATTTCTCATGAAGGACAAATTAATTATGTGGCCAACTAGATTATCAGCACATCTTAAGAAATCAACTAACGACATTAACTCTGCTTGTAATGCCATTATCTCCAGCCTTTTTTTATAGCAAAGCTTCGCCGTGGTTTCTGGCAACTATGAGAAGTACCATAGTACATTATAATAGGAGTAAAATAGATGGAAATTATCGCGACTATTGAGTGAGATGTGGAAATCATAAACATTTCCTGACCAAGTTCATGATAGTCAGAAGATAAACAAACCGGCAACTTAGTCGACTTCAGACTTAAAAGATTGAAATATGAAAACCCTGCTGATAAGTTACCAACGTCGGCTCATAAATCAGACGTGTAATTTAAAGCCTGATTAAGTCTATCGAAAGAACCATATACACGTGATACTCCATTCCAACATGCCCATGAGACTTAAAGAAAAACCATAATGCAAAGATTCTCTTTCATCAAGGCATGAACAAGTTTTCCTAGATTATGGTTGTATATTCTAATATCTGAACAAAATCAGCCCCTGCAAGCACAAAATCATTTCTAGCAGCATGCCTCAGAGTTGATAGAGCATTGCCAGCATAGGTTTAATTCATCCAGCAGAGAAAAGAGCCTTATAGCAATCAAAGTATAGTATAGAGTACTAGAAAGCAGAAACCAGAAGTAAAATTATTACCGCGTAAACTCATTCTCTAGCGTTCTCGCTCTTGACATGAAACCATCAATGGTTTTCAACAAAAGCTGGTCCCCAACTTTTTCTGATGTTCCGCAATCATTAGAATGCCTGGAAAATTTCAAAAAAAAAAAATCAAAATAAAAAAAAAATAATAATGATAGATTGGAAACAGAAAAAAGAAAGGAAAAAAAAAAGAAAGAAAAACAAAGTGCTTCAATAATGCTCTTGGAGGAGTTCTAAAAACATTCAGATCATTTCTTACCTGTTCGAGCTATCAAGTGGGATATCGGATTTGCTACTTGTGGAAGTAACCATGGCACATGCATCACCCAATGCTAATCTAGAGACAGAGTAAACAGCACTCTCATAATCTAAACTAGCATCCAAAGAAAGGAATGCAGCCGATGGAGGACGAAGCAACTTTTGAATAAGATGTGTTGTCAATATAAGCCTTCTTTTTGGTTTTAGCACCATCAGTGATCCATCTTCGAGCAAATCAACTTCGTCTCCTACCTGTCATTCCGAAGAAACTAAAACATGAAACCATGCCTAGGATTTACTAGTACATACATAGTTGAACAAGGAATGCCACATACCTTATCAATAAGACGATTTGAAGCTCTAGCCCATTCTACATCAGCCATACTGCGAGTGCACAAAATCCAAGACATCAATTACCATACACATGCATCAAGGTTTTTGCTTTATTTACTAAATAAAAGAACGTCAAGCTTTATTTCTTAAACAAAAAAGTATCACTGTTCAAATAAAGTACGTGCACAGCACACCAAGAAAAACTAACAACAGGTTATCCCCTATTCTTTCAGTGGGTAATATTCATGATGCTCATCTAAAAATAACTCAAGTTTTTCCCTTTCTATGGTTAATAAGATAACTCATAATTTCAAAAATTAGATGAGCACCTGACGGTGTGGAATATTCTGGAGCCCTGCGACACTTCTTTGTGCCAAGGATCAAGTTCAGAAGCGCAACTTTTGCGTTTATTGCTCCTCAATATTACTGGCTGCTGATCACTTGCACTTGAAGGATAAAGCTCAACTGCTGCTGATGCGGTGTCCTCCCTACCTTGATTCGCAACAGCATTAGCAGTGGACAAAGGCTCCATCGAGTTAAGGGTAGGCATTATAGCAGGAGATTTCCCAAAATTAAATGGTTGTTCTGCAGTCCTAAGCATTGTAGCTTGCCTAGCATCATACATAGGCGCAATCTGCCCGTTTCTAAAGTTTACAAATTGATTATACCACGATGGTACCATCTGAGGACTAATCTTCAACTGATCAACTTTGGAGGAGGTAGTAGTACTGCTGCTATGAGAACCATCCCGGCTAAACGCAAGCACTCCTTGAGCAGCTAGGTTACCATGCTGAGATGCATTAGCTCCCATATTAGTTTCAGCGCCTGAGAAGTTTAGCATGTTGGGATCTACGGGAGCTGCGGCACGGGGAACCAAAGCATTACCAACAATAGCATTGAGATCGTTTGAATTGATTACCATAGGGGGTGCAAGATGACTACTTTGACCATCAGGACCTTTCATTCTTTTCAAAACCCTATTGCTTGGATCATCTTCCGCATTTTTCGTTGGGCGCATTTGGTTCAACAAAGAAAAGTTTTGCTGCAACATGTTATTTGGCTTCAAAGATCGGCCAAAGGCTTCAATATCTCTCTGAGTTGAAAGGGAATTAGCAGGAGATCCATCTGACGAAGTTCTGACAACTGGTTCTTTTCCCTGTGATTCTTTAATCTTTGGACCCGGGTCAACATTTTCAGCAGACTCTTGCAAGCCACTGTTTTCCTGCCTTTCTTCCTCGGAGCGAATATTCTCTGAATTTGCAGCATTTGCACTAAACTCAGACGAGATATTCCCCCGCTTTCCATCTTTGTCACCTTGATCTAAAGAAGCAGAAGTAGAATTTGCAACATTTGTCTGATTCAACTGTGAATTTTGCGAGGATACCTTCTGAAACTCATTAACCAATAAATGTTGATGAGCTGGAACATGGGTCCACATATTAGGCAACGGTTTAGATGAGGTCCCTACTAGAGGATAATTAGGTACGGATGAAGGCTGAGATACAGGAATAGGCCTCTCTGCTGGAAATTGCTGGGCTAATACTCTTCCAGGAAGAATGTTTACACTATTTTGGGGGGGAACAGGAGAAACAGAATTACCATAAGGAGTGCTCCGAGCCTCATCAGGCATAGAAGTTTGCATAGATTGACTAGCCGGAGGTTTGTCATGAGGATCATCCTTCTGTGCAGAGGCATGTTTATCCAAAGATCTTGACAAAGGTCCACTAGCCCAAGCAATCTCTTGACTTTGAAGTGGGCCCCTTGAATGCGGGAAACCAGAATTAAACGCTGAAAGATTTCCAGGCACTTTGTAAAGAGAGGTTACGTGGGCAGGCGGCACTGAAACACCAGGCCTATAATTCTCTCCTTGGGATCTCTCCCTGGAAGAAGGCACAGACTGACTAGAAGAAATGGGAACCAACTGACCGTGACCCTTTTGTCCGATTTCAGCGACAGCATGGCTCGATTGCGAAGAACTTGCCATTTGCATGGGGCTATGAGAAGACAAGGACTGGTTTCCAATTGGCGGTCGCTGCATCGGAGGGCCAAGTTGTAAACCAAAGCCTTGAGAATTAGATGACTGACTTCGTTGAAGACGGCTAATAGACCCTTCTGAATTTTCGCCCTGAAGGGTGTCAGCTGCTGCATTCTGATCAGAAGCAACGCCATGCATCAAAGCACCATGCTCTTTTGATTGATCAACCTTGTGAAGCAGTTCAAGCATATTTTGGCTGCAAGAGGCAAAACAGTTAAATCATGCAAGTCCCAACAACATAAGAGTGCGATGTTTACAATCTATAAGAACAGCAAAAGACATGATGTTACCACATCTGTTACAGAAAAAGAGGCATGGTAAAAAATTCCACGCATAATCGACAAATAAATCCTACAAAATGTGTCATGATACGGACCTTGACTGTGAAGCTTTGTCTGGTGAGAACATCTCCACAGATTTGTTAAAGGGAATAGAATGATTAGGGATAGATCCAGAGAAGTTGGTTGACATTGACTCATTATAGCCTTTGGTTCCCCTCTGCATATCATTTGATTGTCCCTGTCAATACGAGCTAGGTTAACTTCAACCCATCATATGAGGAGTCCTGCAACTAAGACGTATAAGTTTATCTTCCAGACTAAATAAAAAAATTTTAATACCTGCCCCAAATACTTGGACTGGCCAAAATGAGACATGGCAGGTGGAAAGGTTGGCTGCTTCATTCCTTGAGCATGTTCACCTTCATCATCCAAATTTCCCATGGGATGATACTGAAATTTTCGAGAAGATGAATTTTTCCTAGCAATCTGATTAGATAACTTCTGCTTGCCAGTAGACAGAGCTCTTGATTCTATAACTTCAGAACCAGTATTGTCCTTTGCACCTCCAGCTGAATTATGGTGTGACATATTAGAGCGGTAGCTATCATTGGAATTTTCCTGCTTATCACTATTCTCCATCTCATGCTCTTTACCTTCCTGCATACTAGCACCAAATTTGTCTTGCTGTGAACCTCCTACTTCATCTACTTTAGATTTAACTGATGAATGAACGTTTTTCCAGTAATTTAATTGATGATTGTTTGAGATAAACTGGCTACTTGTCTCAGCAGCCTTAATATTACTTGAATCTGATGATACAGCAGCACCGTTCAAACTAAATCCCTCTTTATTCATAAGGGAACTTCCCCTGGACATTTTTACCTGCTCCAATTGAACTCTTGATTCTTGACCAGGACTAGACTTCCATAAGGTTCCACCTTCAACCACTTCTCTCTGCATAATCTGCTTTTGCTCCGTGTTTTCAGAATGTTGCAATGACCTTTCCCTCCCTTGAACAGATAACGATCCATCTTCATATGGTGTCACAGTCCCAAAAGCATTCCAACCATTGGGCTTGTTGTATAATTGTCTAGAACCACTTGTCTCAGCATCGAGGGAATGAGATGAATTTCCAGGTATTTGACTCCCTTCAGCAACAGACTTCCGGCCTGGAATACCATTTGACCACTTTCCACCTTGGTCAGACAATAAATCAAGTCCTTGAGAAGTACTTGCTGGAACTCTTTGACTGGAGTCATTTGAAAATGTGCGCCCAAATTGCTGGAAACCCATATTATTCTGATAGTTCTTGTTGATATTTGACCCACCAGGGGTTGGAACAGGTCCAGAACCAAAAGATGCCATTGGCGAATTATCATCTGCCAAATGAGGATGTTGCTTCCCATCATTAGCTGGAGTATGCTGATTCCCAGAGGCAGTATCAATATTTTGAAAATTTAGACCACTCCACTCTTCTTGTAACCCCATATCACTGCTAGAAGTTTCTGCCACAGCAGATTGCATAAGAGCACTCCATGAGCCACTTTGAATAGAAGAAATGCCACTCAAACCTGCACCGTCAAACAGATTGGATCCATCAGCACTCATAGTCGTGCTCTTTCCAAAGGCAGCCCAAATGTTGTCATCGGAACCAAATAAAATCCGCTCTTCTGTTGGGTCTAGCGCAACATCTTCCCTTGAAGTAATATTTTGTGCATTTGCAGGTTCCTGCACGGTATTCTGTAGAACAGGCTGTTCTTGTCTTCCACTGGTACTAGACATATCTGCATTTCTTTGGATAGAATTAATTTGATGCACATTCCCAATATCCATTGTAGTACTAACAGCAGGGCCAGATGCATGCGGAAAAGAATTTTCCGCAAGATACCTCTGCCTGCCCATAGTACCCCCCTTATCCTGTAACTTACCTTGACCAGGCAATGCATTGTATTGATTAACTGGAAGAAAACCACCCGTATTAGCCATTTGTTGAGCTGATGGTTTTTCTGTTGCCAGGTGAGGATATTGGTTCAGACTTCCCCTAGAGTTAGACACAGGAACCCCATAAAGAGATTGTTCAACCTGTTGCGGAGCCAAATCCACCATACGCTGTGCCAGGCCCTGATTAGGAGAAAAAACAAGTCCATTGGAGGAACCTTGCATTGCTAATGTATTACGCTGCATCCAATTTGAATGACCCATATCATTTGGCAACTGATAACTCAATGCATCAGAATTCAGAGATCCGTTCATCAAAGCTGGGGATTGGCTTCCAGATGCCTGCTTTGCAAAAGGGGAATTCATTAGACTCTGACGAGCATCTATCTGCGAAAATTGCTGCTGCCTTTGAAGTTCCTGCATTTTCATGAGTAAGACTTGTTGTTGCAGCTGCTGCATATCATTCAGCCCAGAAGGCTGATGCTGCATAGACTGCAGCATGCTTAGCTGCTGATGGTTCATCTGTTGGGGGGCACCAAAAAAGTCAAAACCCACAGGAGGCCCGGATGTCTCCGCCCTAGCTGAAGATTTTCCGTGGTTTTCAGCACCACCAACTTGCTGTGATCCATAGGCAGATATAGTTCTTTGGCTTAGATTGCGCTGATCAGAGTTAGTATCAACTGCAGGAGAGTTGCTTTCATCCTGCCGCATCTGGTAAAACTGATTGCCATACATGAATCCATTAAAGTTTGGTTGCTGGCTTTGAGACTGATTCTTAGTAAATTCAGGTCTCGTAGTTGATTGAGTGAAGGTCAATCCATTTGATCCGTGGAAAGGGTTACCAGCCGGCCCCCTCTCGCTATCTGTCATTAAAAACAAGCATTAACCACAATCTCCCACTGACAGAATCTTCAAAGGGGCCAAGACAATGCAACGGGAGAAATGGCATACATAAAAAGGGGGAAAATAAAGACCAAAGAGAAAACATAAAAGCAAGCATTAAACCTGATTCCTACCTGATTGCTGTAGACTGTAACTTTTTGAACCAGAATTCAAGAAACCAACTTGCCTCTGGCTTCCTGGCCACAAACTGTTACTTAAAACAGGCCAATTTCCGTCCGCAGCCTGTGAGTTGTGCTGCCCTTGGGACAAATTATCTTGTGCAAAGAAATTGTGAACTCTATCACCAACTTCGTTGCCAGGCATAGATGATTCAATCCCGAAAACCTTAGTACTCTTATATCAATGCGAACATTTAAATTAAGATTCTGGCACTCCTGAAGCCAATAATTTATCTAATACCAAAATATTTGGACAAACAAAAGTATGTTCAGATCACCCTAATTCAATCCACTCTTCAACTTTGACGCCCAGAACTTCCTGAGAAGAAACAACAAATTTTACAAATCCCTTCAGTTAGATAAAAATAAGATAACTACTATGTTTAAAAATGCAACTTATAGTTAAAAATAATATAAAAAAAAACTCAGGAAAAAAGAAAAACCGTATACACACGCGAAGATTTACCCAAGGGAAAGCAGAAACAGAAGAAATGGAAAGGAAAAAGAAAATCTGTTGTTAATATATGTATGTAACTAGAGAAAGTAAAAACGTATGCACATGAGTTATCTAGACTTGATTTTCTGCAGAACCCTCAGCTTTCATAATTGAGACACTTATTAGTTGTATGAAAACATCAGAGGCAGGTAATGTCCAATATTAGTGTTTCCTAACATTGCACAGATATTCCACAAAGGGTGAAAGTTTGAACATCCAGGGAGAATATTCCACTTTATCTAAAAGGGAGACTGAAGATTATAAATAATTCTTAAAGATCAGGGTTTGCCCAGGCAAAGCACTTGCAAAAGAGCCAGTGAACCAGACACAAGGTAATTAATTGAGCAAGCAGATTCTCCCAGGAACATATTACATGAAATCTTTCGTCCAATAGGCAAGAGCCACTGTTCATTCTATCTTAGCACTTGAACAATATACTACTTATGATAGCAGCAACATGGCTACAAGAATCATTTCTTGCGTAATTCAAACTTAATTTCGAACATCCATCTCGTGTCCATTTTGATCTCTGCAGTGTCTCAATCAAAGGAGGGAGAGGGAAAACGGAATCCAATCATCCAGGAATAGAACACTTAAGGAACTCATAAACCCAGTCAATTAAGAAAATGTTCGCACTGAAAACATGGAGAATGAAACAAGGCAGATAAATGTACGGCAAATACACTGCTTGAAGCTCCTTGCCCATAAGTTTCTCCATTGGTGAACTCGTGGTTACACCACAATATAACAGCTAGTTCTTAAAGCCAAAGATCGCAAAAACTACCAACAATTTCAATATTGATAGAAGAAAAACTTGTTTCTGTCACAGCCCTCTTTCTTTTGGTTACAAGACTCTTCAGAATACACAACCGTACACTGGACAATAGTGAATTTTCAATAGGTGAGCCATCTTTCTAGTAATTCCATTGCAAGTAAAGACTCTCATGCGTGGTACTATAGGAGCAAACAAATGTTGAGATTCCTGTTCAACAGATGAAACATTTTCGTTCTCGCATGAAGAGAATTTCATTCCGAATTAGCCACTGCTTTCCTTGGCCATCTTTAAGGAACTTGGAACAAACCAACAAAGAAGAAGCTCTTTAGGAAGTCTCAACCACTCAGAATTACAAGATAAAGAGCATTAATAACTTTTGAGCATCTCATATATCCAACATTTAATGCCATGATGTAACTCAAAGGTGGGTAAGCTTTGCTTCCCACGTGACACATGAAATGTAACTCTTTTAAAGGGACCACCACTAAACCCACGACAATTAAACATTGATTAAGAGAAAAAGCTTCCATTCTCGAGTAGTCCCAAAACCAAATCTATGAAAAAGAACACTTCACTGCTCATTTACGTTACTCATCAGATCACCAATGATATCACCACTGAACCTAGCACAAGAAAACTGCACTCCCGCGTAGCAACAGAATAAAATTGCACTCTCAAGTAGCAAAAGACCCAAAAAAAATTGAACAATTTTAATACACATTCCCATCAGATTACAAAAGAAGTCCACATAACTTGAAATTTGCAGTTCCACATCACACAGAGTCAAAAGGGACACGTCAATTTCCACAGGAGAGTTTCAAAAGTAATTGAAAGAAAGATACCATATCACATACATCAATTTACCTCATAAGAAGCCATCTAAGATGAAACAAGACAAAATAAAAACAACAGATTTTACTGCTCTGGAGTTCTAGATGACCTAACTAAACTCTTAACATTAGAACATGCAATAAATGCAAATTCAGGTAGATTTACAAAGTGTGGATACCTTGCCCATTCTAATAAGGCATAATCACGGAAAAATGAAAAGAAAAAGCCCCTAAACATAGTCATTCCAGCGACTAGAAATCAATCATTCAAATGGAAAAAAGAAAAGAAAAAAAGATGTGCCCGTAATCAGAGAAACCCCAGGAGCATCCCAAATTCCAAGCACAGAACACAAATTAAACATAAAATCATGAATGCCAAGCCAACCATGGCTGCAAAAAAAAGGTACACAGGTGCCTTAACGCTAAACCCTATCCAAAATCAAGCTAATCAAAATGCTCAAAAAATGGAATGTGCTTCACACATACACCCGCAGAAGGAACAAAATTAGGGTTTGTGATTCAACGCGTTCAGAAATGAAGGGAGAAACTCACGTAAATCTTCCAGCCGGTCAGGAAATGGAGCAGGAAATCGATCTTCCACCGGGGCAAATTCTAGGGTTTTGAATCGGGGGCGAGAAATGAGTGAGCTTTTTCGCTTTTGAGAGAGAGAGAGAGAGAGAGAGAAAACCAGCCTATCGAGTGTGTGTCTGTGTGAGAGAGAAAGTAGAAAGGAAAGAAAAGGAAGAGAGAGATAAAGTGATCGAAAAAATAGAGTGCGAAATTTTCAACGAACTGCGAACGAAGGAGCGAGATGGAGAGTAGGTTCGGTCTCGAGGCTGAGGCTCGGGAATTGGTTGGGTCGCATTGGCTATGCTGGGAGAGATGGGACCTTACGGGGGTTGGGTGAATATCCAATCAGATTTCGCCACGTAATCCCGAAGTAAATCGACTCTGTTGCTTTTGCGCCAAAACTTTTACCGTCATATGGTAACAGTAATAATTAGTCTGGGAGTGAATTATTTTTGGCAACCACCTGAAATTTGATGAAGATTTGGTAAAAAATATCCTTCATCCTTTTAAATTTTAGGCACTTTATAATTAGGAAAAAAATAAACCCATAAAACAAATTTACCTTACTATAACCTTCGTAATTTGAGTAAATTCTGTATTTTTCAACTAACCTTAATCAACCTACATATATCCTTTCATCTTAAAATAACCATGTACCACATATATTTTATATAAATGATCTTACGCAATTTTTAGATATTACGGCAATTGCAATATTCTCAATTCAAGAACTATTATGGTTTCAAGAATGGGAGGGTTGAGTGGAGAGGTTAAGGGGCTACTGGTTATTACTAAGAAATGTAAGGTTCGATTCTTGTTGGGCCATCTAATTTTTTTAAAAAAAAAATTATTATGATTTTAAGTCAGTTTTTTAATTGTATGTCTTCTAGTTTCCTTTTACATGTTTGTTTAGGGGGTAGCGATGGTTTCGGGAATAATCGTAAATGGAGTTTAGGATCGCAGCAATGATGATTTTCAAACGGAAAAGAAAAAAAACTAGGTTGATAGCTAAAATTCAGAAATTATAAAAATTATAAATGCTCAAAAAAAAAAAAAACCTTAGAGGTGCAATTGTAACGGTAACTTTTTCATTTACGGCTTAACTCTATATAAAAAATGTCATAATTATTTAATCATTTTACAAATTTTGACCATTGATTTCAACTTTGGGATAGTCAAGGAGTACATTATTTTCCTCGATGATAGAGACCGTAAAAATAATAATAGAAATATATAGTGATTAGGGATATCCAGATTGATCCATGGCTCGGGCCAACCAGGTAATCCAAATTAATCCGATCTGAATGGAACCGAAATTTTATTTTTGGTTTGAATCTGTTTGAATAAATAATCGAGTAAAATGGGGTGGGTAGGAACGAACTGAATATGTTACTCATCCAAATTAATCCAAAAGTCAGCTTTTTCTAACTTTTACCCTTTTGTTCAACCTAATTGTCAGTATCTTCCTTTCGCTCAAACTTTCGACAGACCAAAGGCCTACTATCCTGAACCCATCGATGGGTTTCTCAATCCACATTAATTAAATAATAATCAAACCAAGTTATTTTAAAAGTTCTCGTAAAGTTTCACTAGATCAATGGATATTGTGTCCTTGATTTAAAATTTTTGAATTAGAACGTTATTCTAGACTGAGTCATTTCAAATCAAGTGTTTTGGCATGTAGACATCATATGTTGTTGTGCTATTATTTTTATATTGGGTGGTCCGTTATATGGTTAAAGAAAAAACCCTAATAAAAGGGTCAAAATCATTAGGAACAAAAAGAAAAAAAGACAAAAATAAAATGGATCGACTTGATTTTGATCTAAAAGAGACTAAACTTGAATTGAACTGATTCAAAATATATTCATCTTTTTTTTCAGTGATCCATTCTGATCCTAAACATAACGGGTCGGAATTTGGATCGATTTGATTCAGTTTTCATAAAATAACAACCCTAATAGTAAAATTCGTAGTTAAGAGTAAATTATGTAATTTTGGAAGGAAGGTTAAAATTTTAACGAAAAAGTACTAATAAAATACGGGGATTTATAATACTATACATAAATCACTATTTTTTCCATTATATGTTTTTCATTACAAATTACAAATATCATTTTCTAATTTCATTATCCCAAATAATTTTAACGAGGAGTCCCTCATCGTGAGAAAATAGCATCCGAAATTTCTACAGTTTATGTTTCCATAAAAAAGTACTCTTCTGTCCCAAAATGATGGTCTACTTTATATTTGATTTCTAGTACGATATGTGCTAAAAGATAAAAAATAAATTGGACAATCATTTAACGGTAAGATACATAAATTAGAATACAATAATGAATACATGCGGTTCTAGTTTTTTTTTCAAAAAAAAAAGTACCTATTAATATTATTAAGGGCCTATTCTATTGCACTATATCTTATTATAAACTAGATTATGAACTTCAGATATTTCATTCCTGTCAACTTTAATT